GCACGGAGCACGTTTATTCAGTTCGAGTATTGCGGATAAATGTACACGCAGGAAGCTTAGTCGTGATCAGGATGGCGGATTAGGTTAAGCAAACAGAGGTTAATGATTGGTCACTGTTTGTACGGTCGCACCTCCCAGGTCGCACCTCCCAATCCTGGCGTGCAGGCATGCGATGACGTTCCCACAAACCAGTTAATTAATGAGGAAGCTGTTTATGTATTCGTTTATTTATAGAGCATGTATCATAATATTCGGATAAGTAGATGCATATTTTTAATTATATAATATAGGAAAGGAGAAAGTAAATTTGGTCTATGGTTTTCGGGATTTTAACTTCTGATAAATGACGCTCTAGGCGATCTTTTATAAAACAATAAATCCAGAAATTAGTAATAGGAAGCTCTTATATATTATTGTGCCTTAAGGACAGTGACTGATTATGACATTTCAGATACTTTGTTTACATTTGACACTGTCGAAACTACATGCCAATGTGTGCAAATGTGAGGATAGAGCTTAAAATATTTTTCTTAATATGAATGTAACAAGTGTTAGTAGATTTTCTGTTTTCTTGTAGTCAAACAATACGTTGAAAGGACCTTATGTAATCAACTCTGGAATAAAAAATTCTACAAATACGGGGAGCTTTATTGCCATCAAAGGAAATCGGTGAGCAAAATAGCAAAGTAATCTAATAGTTTCAAAGTGAAATGTTTTTAAGTAGACAACAAAATTGTGTTCTAGATCCCTAAATATTTGGTCAGGCGAAAAAGCAAATGTAATTCATGGTACTGGTAGGATTCGTTTTATAACCCTTGAAATAGTATTTTAGATGGGTTTCGACTTGCAAGAGGTATCCAACTCTCAGATCCAAGAGACATTTTTGTCCCGCTTCTCTGTCAACCGATAACTCTAAAAGCTGTGAACATCTCCCATCCAAAGGCATTTAGTGCACTCGAGGTGGCTTATCATGACTAAATTCTCTTTCAGTGTCCTTGTACTTTACCAGAATGTTAACTTTTAAGGTGGCTGATATGGAACTGGATACGGACTTGACAGCACATGAAAAAACCTACTGTCCCATAAAAGTGTCAGGACCAGCATGTCCACCGAAGGGATATTATGACATATCGCAATGCACTGTGCCTGGAGATATTTCTCCGCCAATATTTGCTTCTTTTCTGTATTTTATGGACACAGCTACGGATGATGCCTTCATTGTTCACAAAGTCGACCAAGTCAGGGACAAATTTCGTCTACTTGCCGAGCCAGTAGCTGCTATTTGATGACGCATTGAATCTATTATCTGTCTTATTTCTTTTTTAGAAAACGGGCATAGTTGTTGAAGCACATTTACGACTGCAAGTCAATGTTCACTTACAAAGATCACCACACATGGGGTGAGTTAAGACTTAACCCTCTGAAAATAAATATCCTAGTTACCAATCAATTATACTCTAATTATGGGCTAATGATAAATATAAATATCATAAAGCTTGCCATTTGAAATAATAAAAATATTCTAATTAAAGCAGTTAAAGGTCTGTGCCCAAGAAAAAAGCGTTCAAGTGTTACACGGTAATCAAGGTAAAATGGGCTTCTCGAGTAAAAATACAAGCAACTGATATGCTTTGATAGTAAAATTTAAGTTAACACTCGTACATCTAGTCATACTGTCTTCCATAGCTTTCCGTACAATCAACAATTATGTTAAACATATTGGATAAATAAGGAGTTCGCTAATTATAAAACTTATTTCAACTAACTAGCGCTTCTGATATTTTACCTATTAATGTATCTCCAATGCATTCACTTCCGTTGTTATTCAAATTCATCTTACCTTATATTAGATACTCAACTATATCTCCTTAGAGTTTTATTTATATCTCTTTGGCCTGCTTTTTGAAGAAAAAAGTATTTCTCTCTGCATAGGGATCTCTTTATGAATATCTCCGATCCAATGTATCTGCCAATAGTATGGTTCGTAAATGTAAGTTCTTTAAGTTGGATATTTTAGCTTGTTTCCTTACTTTAACTGAAAACTTTAGTCATTTATATTTTAGTATTATAGTGTAAAATTAAACACTGTTACTGTTCTATCAGGCAATCGGTAATTAACCGCGTTGGATTAAATCAACCTTATTAACCATTTGTTAAATTTTTTAAAATGTGATCAGGTTAGATACTGATGATTCGATTTAACAGTAATGAGAGACAGGGTACACTAAATTACACCTCAACATCCGTAAAGTAATATCTGACTTGAAAATACGTAACATGTGTAAAAAAGGTGAGTATAATGTAATAAATTATTAGGGCTATTTTATTCTTTCGACGAGAGAGTACCCTAAACTTAATATAATTTGTAGTTATTGCTGAGTTTTACGTTGAAACCAATTAAAGTATTTGAATATCATCAGGTTGGGAAAGTGGTGATATTAGATTCTAACGATTACGAAGAGTTTTTTTTAGATTCATCCAGGATAAATCTTAGTCACCAGTGTGATTGGTTTTCAAGTCTTACAAATGCTCAAGCATTTGCCTACTGGTGGGAAAATCATTAATCGTTAAACGGATTCATGCTTCTAATAAGCAAATGCAAATGCAAATGAAACGATTATTACTGAATCTCAACGAAGTCTGTTAATTTCAAGTCATTTATAAAAGAGTATGAATTACAGAATTTTATGAAAAGTTAAATCTCACATAAAATTCCAACCGAGACTAGTGAAGTGTGTAAAGCCTTAGTAAAGCCTGACTGACTTAGAAATCTCTATGGCAGATTCTCCTACATCTAGCTAGACTCCCAGAACCAGCTAAGCTATAGCCCAGCTATGAAAGGAAACAGACGTGTAGCACGGAGCACGCTTATTCAGTACGGGTATTACGGATAAAGCGTACACGCATGGAGCTACTCATGATCAGGATGGGGGATTAGGTTAAACAGAGGTTGATGATTGGTCACTGTTTGTCCGGTCGCTGCACACAGAGTTGTACGGCCGCACCTCCCAATCCTGACGAGCAGACATGCAGGCATACGATAACGCACACACCGATAACGTGTCCCACAAATGCAAGATGAAAGCATCCAAAAATGAATGCTAAAACCCACGTTAATAAAAGAAAGGATTTTATATGTTTGTATCAACTTGACTTATGTTTTATTTTACGCATTCATTTGATGATTAGCCAAAAAAGAAAGGGATTGAAAACCCCCTTATTTTACAGCCATAAACTTGAAACCAGTGTTATACCACTGGAATACATGTTGAAGCAACAGACTTAGTCACTTAAAAAATTTATTGAGTTACAAGCTGTTAGGATTCGAAATTTTGACTCCAAGTGCAAGGAATTTGTGCAATAGTTTATGCTTTGAATGGTAAAAGTCAGACTGAATCTGTTTGTCATATGACTTCTAAACGAATGTTCCGGGGAAATAATGTGCTGTATACAATCCGTGCACGGTTAACCTAAACAATCGCATGCGTGATGGAAAATATTTTTGTAATAATTAAACGATGAGATGTATTTTATTTTTATCAAAGTGATGGGATTTCATTTCAGGCGAAAAAAATAGTTTTACTGAATGTCTTCGGTTTTGTTGATAGGATTGGCAATACTCTTTTAACGACACCGTTTTAATCTCGTGGGTCACGTCTTCGCAGGCACGCACGGCAGGATTTGGAGGGTGCGGTCGTACGCGTAGAACACTGCTCAGAAATATTTCGTCATTAATGTTCGTTTAAATTATGCTAGAATAATTTGATAATTATTCGATTCCGCCGAGATCATATTTTGTAATAACCCTGCTTTGTGTAGTACGACACCTTCCTCCCTAGCTTCGCTGTAGTTTAGCTAGTTCAGATATAGGAGATACTGCCATAGGGAGATTTCTGAGTCGATCAAGGCTTTACTAGTGTAGCAGTCCGCTACAAATTCGCTTATTTTAATGAATTGATTCACATGAAGAGAATGCGGCATAAATTCCTTTTGTGCTAAATTTCTTTGTCCCATTTTAGACAATAATTTTTTCTATACTCGTTAATTGCCTGTTTTGTTAAAGATCATTGACCTAAGCCAAGTGTGTCTGCTTTGGTTTTATTGATTTTAGGATATCGAGGGTTCAAGAGAAGACTTAAAAAAGCTACATTATGCTCTTTACGTCAGTCCAATGCGTATACGTCTAATTCTACAAATCTTTTTCATCTTCTCCCTGGTAATAATGGCTTTTCTCACGATTGGCTGTGCAATAATGATTAAGTTACGCAAAGCAAAACAGATTTACTGCTGCCTGTGGTTGTCCAAACAAAACCAATCTAGCCACAGTCTTCTTCTAGATCCTCCTGCAGATAGTGCCGGCGATTTTGTGAGTTAGATATTTCATTTTTCAGGCAAAGTATTTTGCATTTTATAGCCTTTTCTTCAAATGAAGTAGCCTTGCAAAATGTCACAATAAGTAGCTGTTAAAAATATCCCTTCCGGAATAAAACGCAACTTAACCTTGCCTAGGATACACTGCTACTCATGTTCTTCATGATACTTAGTGCTCTAAACGATACTAACGCCTCACTACCGCACCCTGCAAAAGTCAGGCGACTTGTTCGGTCACGATTACATCTCAGTAAAAACGGAATGTCTATGATTAAAAAAAGGTGATATTTGATTTGTTATAGTTGTAAGATGCGGCATATCATGTAATATCATTAGGTCATCTCAAATATTGTAGGAAAAATGAATAAAAGTGGCAAGATCGACCTGTTTTGATTAAATTATACCGATCAATAAGTACTGAACACTGTCGACAAGTATTCGATACAATCCAAGGGAGTAACAATGAAATTGGTAATGTATTACATGAACGGAGAAATTATTAAATAAGAAGTAAGGCTAAATGACACAGAATTTGCTTTATGTATATTTTTGATCCTCACAATCTTAACACTTACTGAACAAAATTATACGTTGTCCGTTGGTTCCAAAATTAAAAATTGTAACCTTTTTTGTAATAGTGGGAATAAAGCTAAAACCTATACCATCTTATTCCTTGAAATGCAGGCTACAAAGGACTCTGGCACAACGAGTTCGACAATCAGTCCTTGGAGCAATTCAATGTACAGTATGTTGCAAAATCAAGACGAAAGTAGAACGAATTCGTAATGACACTGCTCATGGCAATTACTTGCATCAACCACCCCCTGCTCCCCTCGATTAACGACCTCCATCCATTTTGTATGTGTTTGGATTCCCATTTAAAGAGTTAAAATCGTTTGATGGTAAAAAGAAATGGTTTATTTTTTTATTTCAATTTCATTCAGATTAAGAAGCGCAATTTATACTTTAAATGATATTTTCACTAAATAAATTAATAAAAAAGTGAATATACTACACCGATAAGATGGAAAATCTTCACAAAAGAAAATTTTTCTTTTGGAGGACTCATAAAGTTAAGCTGAAAATTTTAAGCCACGAAATTCTTAGAGGTGCTTTCACAGTTCAGAATAAGAATACCGAGTTAGATTTAGAAGCATTTTTCAAGACGTCACAAGAGATCAGTACTCCTTTAGATTTTTCCATAATTTGGAGATCGGTTTTTGAATACATTTGCCATTCAGTAAAAGGATGGAAAATCTCAATCTTCGAACTCAATTTTTTCATTCAATGATATCAAGAAAATTCAGATATCATTAATTGTCAAATTTTTGAAGCTCCCAAGGGAAAGTGTTGACAGATTTTTTGAAATAAAAAATGTAAAAAGAGCCTTTATTCGTGTAATTAAAGATAAAAATAAATGGAATGACAGGTTGAGGCAAAAATGAGTAGTATTGCAAATGTAAGAGTCGTTGCATAAATGATCCTTCAACTTGTTATAACTTTTCGTCATCCTTCCAGCGGATATTTAAAAGTTTTATACTTTAAAGAACATTTTATGATGCTCAGATCAACTTCAAATTCTTTAAATGGGAGATCAGACTTTTAATTTGTAAAAAGAAACCCTAACCCATTCTTTTCGGTGTTACATTTTTGAAAAGCGAATTTGTGTAGGAATTTAAATACCGTAATACTTGGATATTTGACTTCAATTAAATCAACTACGATTGATCATGATTGACCCTATTCTTTTTTGAATTCCAGCTGATAAGATTGAGTAAAATAACATTTACTTGCACCGCTGTAGAACAATATTGTCAAGTCTTTTTAAAAACACAAATTAGAGGTGATATAATTTATGATGAAATAAATTATGTGCGCGTATGTTTCATGTTACCCAATAATGATCTAATCTGAAAAAATTAAACGGTTCTCGATTTTTAATTGAAATTTATTTAAAGTATAAAACATTTATACCCAATGGCAGGCGTTCTGATGGTTATCATTAGCCCTTTAGTTGACTTCGGGCTTCAGAAATAGCAGTACATTTATTTATATCAAATGGCAGGCTTTATGGAAACAAAATTTATTTATTTATTTCAAATGGCAGGCGTTTTGAAAGTTATCATTAGCCCTTTAGTTGACTTCGGCTTCAACAGAAGGGAGGAGCATTGTTATCATTAGCCCTTTAGTTGACTTCGGGCTTCACAGAGTTGAAGGAACATCAAAGTGAAAGAAAGTTGAGAGGTGGTGGGGAAGGAACAAAAGAGTGTTTCAAAGACGAAGGTAGAAAGGTAGAAAAGAGGTGAGGTGAGTACTGTGGAAGTAGTCGAATATGACATACAGTGGGGTCATGGCAGTTTGTAGTCAGAAGTCAACTGCCTGTTAATAGACTTTTTGTCGTATGAGTATACATTGCCCAGGGTGCACTACGTGGAGGTAAGTCTATCGCACACCCCAGTATAAATCATATATTACGTACATACATATTCTTGGTACCTTAAATAGGGCCAATTGTAGAATTTCTACTTATTTGTTTCAGTAGACATTGCACTTCAATAAAATTCTTGCACGAAATGTTTGACCTTCCTATACCTTTAGAAGTTCCTACTATGAATTTTGAATCCGAAGTTTACACTAGCACGAATGCATAATATTAGACTAAGATGTTGGATGATGGCAATTTGGCTGCATGGGGTCATCACTCATGGAGGCATCACGTCAGTGCTTATGTAAATGAAAAGAATCCTTCACCCTATTTGACGAGTTCAGTCGTCCATCAACAAAAAATTTATTAAGCTGACTCTTCATTTTCAGCAATTCACATAGGTATTCAAGCCTTATATTTAGGAAACGTGTCTTTACATTGTTCGTTCATTATAATTCGCCCCAACGCTCCACTGTAAGTTAACAAATCAAAACCACCAATTGTATGAGTCACTATTACCCGTATACATTGTTTGATAATAGATACGCTTCAACAGCGCAGCTACTTAGACGTAAATTTCAAATTCCTCCCTTTTCTATTCCTAGATGAATCCGATATCATTTATCAGATTTCACTTCCCAAGTATTTAATCAATTTTTTCTACTTTAAAAAATATAAGTAGATTAAAACATGAAACTCCTAAAATAGCAACTCCGAGGTTGAATGAATGTCAACGAAAACTGACAAAACTGAAGCACTTTAGATTGCTATAAAATTAATAATTGCTTTTATAAAACATATAACTTAAGATATTTAAGACAGACCATAAATATCACAAGACCCCATAACCAAACCTCATGAAATAAAACGACAGGTGAGGAACGTGAAACTCATTATTGCAAACATAATTTAAAACAAAATATATGGATTATTTTAACGAATATATAGCACTGCCATGACGGGGCAACATTTCACAAAACTTTTGCAACTATTAAGAACCAATTCTAAGCGAAGGTGGGGACAAGATAGTAGAGTCGTGTGAAATCACGCTTTTAAAACTTTAAATTCCAATTGTACTCTAAAATTAAAAAAACAAGTTTAAGCGAGCTTTCCACCCACCAATTGTAATATATCCAGAATAAAGTTAACTTACTTCATTTACATCAGCCATGGCCACCTTGGTATACTTGGCATCGTAAGAAGTATTGCCACGGACTGTCTTGCCACTGCCAACACGGTGCTCCATACGCCTGATGCTAAGAAGAATGGCAACCAGTGCAATCATGAAAATCACCAAAAGTCCCAATACAACCCCGATAATGATGAGAAGGAGGAATCGACCCCTTTCAGGTTTCACATATACGCTCTCGTAAAGAAGTTGAAGAGCGTCGGCTCCCGCTACAGCTTTCTGTACATATACAAATTAAATGTTCAATCAGAAAATAGTGAAAATTTTGCCCTACAGTTTATAAACAAATTGAAAATGTGACCAATGCATGTTAAAATTGCTTTGACCACGGAATGGACTCTCGACATGTGGTCTAGGATTTCAGAAGCATTTGATAAGCAAAATCACATTGAGAATAGTAACTATGTCTCAAGAATAAAGCAATGTATTAATAAAACAATAGTGAGTTTTCTATTCTTGTTCTGTGCCTCCTGTCTTAAAGAAGTCGCTAGATTGAATTCAAATTATGACAAATGGCGTTAGATAGCGTAAATAAGTAGAATTAAATGGTTAGTGAAAAAGGAGAGTAGGCGGTACATGAGCGAGAATAGACACGTCTGTGTGCCGTCCAGGTGGTCGTGCATCGATCTCTCACACCGCCCCCCCCCCCCCCCCCTCCCACTCACTCACCCACCTATCACACCCCTCAGCAGATCATCATGCCACTTTCAACCGGATGCTTGGCAAGCGATTCTTTGTTTATGTGATTAAATTTAGTGCACTGAATTTACACTCACCTCTTCAAACCACACCATAGGCAGAAACACGGGTTCTGTCCAGTTCTTAAATTGGTCACTGAAAAGTAAATGTGCAAAGCATTATTCACAGGACTAAAACATAAGTCGTTTAAAGTAATTTAGCCAGTTATCGTGCAATAGAATGCGTAAGTGCATTGAGAAAAAAACGATACGCAATGGTATTTCACTAGAGGTGTTATGTGAAATCCCTTTCTTCGTAGAAATCGTTGCTTTATTTAACGGATATAGGAAAATCACCTTTTTGCATTAAACAGTATAAAATTCGAATTATATTCTTTTTCAAATACTGCGCTCAATTGAGTACAAATTAGAAAGGATATGTGAAATTTTCACTTTAAAATGTAGTGCTAGAAAAGAACATTCCAACAACTATAGTTAAAGTTCCTGCAAAAAAACTTACGACATTGTCTTTGATGGTCGCACGTAGACGGATATTTGCAAACGTTTGTAGGCCTCCAACACCAATCCGAGTTTCTATGAATGAATAGATTTTTATTATTATGTAAGTTAGATTATTAAACCTGTATCAAAATATTCCCATTTCAAACAAATCGCGCACACTAGTTACGACTTTGAATTCGACCAGAAATACTTTATAGTGGCCTTAATTGAAGGCTCATTCCAAATTTACTAAATTTCTTCAGCTTCAAACCTTAAAAACCACATAAATATCTATTTAAACAAAAGGAAGGCGATCAATATTCAATCAGTATTGGCTACATCGCAGTTACCCAAACTCACACACCTTGAATTCATTCACTGGAACTGGAAACAGCTGTTCCGCTCCGAATCTCCTATAGGAGAGCCAATGATAACAAGTCATTCTGACTTTTAAAAATGTCATCCTTTAAGTTGGAGGATTTGAACTTACAGTAATTTGAATCAATTACCAAAAATGTGTTGAAGATTCGCTTAACAGACAAGTCCTAAGGTCATGGAATGGCGGTATGAACGTGCCAAATGTGTGAACAATTCAATATTTACGTCTCCATGTAGAATCATGCCACCCTTGAATGGGGGCTGTTTATCAGATGTACGAATTTCGGGCAAACCACGGGAATCAACCGACTCGAGCAGGAGCTCTAAGTAAAGCTACTACAGAAAGAGCAGAATAAAGTTCTAGAAGGCTCCAAGTTAGCTTAACCAAAGTCTATAAATGCTCCATTTATTCCTTCTTTAAAAATGTCAACCTGAAAAAATGAAACAAACTATGAAATCCTTGAAATTTCTTTTGTCACTGGAAGAATTAATACTTTTCTCACACAGTAAGTAAACGTAACTGATTATAGTATAACCACTTGAAAAATAATTCACCGACATTATTGCTTGATGAATTGGGGTGTGTGATAGACTTACCTCCACGTAGTGCACCCTGGGCAACGTATACTCATACGGCAAAAAAGTCTATTACCTGGCAGTTGACTTCAAACTACCATGACCCCACTGTATGTCATACTCGACTACCTACACAGTACTCATCCCACCTTTTTTCCACCTTATCTATCTTCGTCTTTGATACACTCTTCTGTTCAC